CCCAAATCTTTCACCAAAAATCATAAAAAATATATTACAATACTCCTTATAACCTCTATAATACAACTATGATTTTAACTAACCAGAAAACAATAACAAAAGACTACATTAAGGCAAAACAGTCCCTAAAAATCTTTTTGGCATTTTTTCAAACAATTAATATGCATTCACAGACATCATTTCCTTTTCCTTCATCTAGTTCATGCCATTTCCCAATTTTCAGCAATGCAACAACAACAATACGAGGCAGCCAGCAGAAATGAAAGAAAACTAAACAATGAAGCATTGATTTAATGTGCTAGACAAAAACTAAAAAAAATACCTCAATGTAGGTGTGTGGGAGGTTGAGATGGAACCGAGAGGAGTTGGGGAAGATTTTTTTTCTGTTCTGTTTGTTTCCTCCGCCCAAGTCCGAGAGAGGGAGAGTGAGGGGTCAGGCTGCAAAATTCCGAGAGCTTCCCTTCCTCCTCTCTCGTGCGTTTCTTTTTCTCTGCCTCTGCCAAGTGAGTCCAGAGGGATTGGAGTGCTTTTTTTTTTTTTTTCTTTTTGTGGCTTGTCTTTTTTTTGTCTCCTGAAACTAGAGAGAGCCGAGGGATGTATTTTTGGGGAGGAAGAGTGGAGTCTTTGTGTGAGTTGGCCTGTCCGACTTTTTAGAGAGAGCCGAGTGAGGAAATTTTGTAGCCAAAGTAGTTTTTTTTTTTGTCTGTTTTCTCCTCTGCAAAATGTTGAGTGTTGGCAGAGCCGAAAGAGTACATATTTTGAGCCCCAAAGCGCCGTTCCCCCTTTTTTGTCAGTCCCCCCGAGAATCAGGAGAGAACCAAGGGATTTTGTCAAATGGGTTTAGTTTGTTTTTTTTTTTTTTTTTTTTTTTTTTTTTTAATCTGCAAAAATGAGACAAAAATATACTTAAAAATGCAAGAAAATAAATTGCTCATCAAATAGAAAATATTCGAAAAAACACAAAATTTGACAAAAATTTGGTGTCTACACCTCACAACTTAAAATCTGACAATGTAAAGTAGTTCATTGAGAATCCATTTCATAGCTAATGTCAAGAGCTAAGAAAACAATAGCATTTTATTTTTGTAGGGCACCCTCACACTAATACGCAGGTGAAAAACATTAATTGAACTATCCTACGTGGATTAAAGTTTCAGTTTGACCCGGCTACGTTAGAATGGGTGGAAGAACTGCCAAATATCCTCTGGGCTTACTGAACTATCCCCTAAACTGCTGCCCAAGAAACTCTATTTGAGTTAACCTATGGGACAGAAGCTGTAATCCTAATAGAGTTTAGACTACCCATATCTAAGACTCAAAACTTCATAGCTCAAGCTAATGAGAAAGAATTGAGGTAGAAGTTAGATGTGTTTAAGCAGAGAAGGGAAGAAACTGCTATAAGAATGGCTAAGTATGAAAGACAGATAGCTCAGTATTACAACTCAAGGGTCAAGATAATACACTTTAAACTAGATGATCTAGTCTTACCACCAAGCTCGATTATGAATTGGGAGGGCCCTTTTAGAGTTATAGAGGCTGGCTAAACTGGACATTATAAGTTAGCTCATATTAGTTGGGAAGAAATTCCTCAAACATGGCATACCTCCAATTTGAAAATTTTCTTTCACTAAGTGCTTAACTTAGTTTTATTGTAATACAATTCTTAGCAATAAAATGAGGTTTCTTTCCAAACTACCTAACCATTATTAAAATTTGGGTTCTATCGACCATCTGGAAGGATAAATAACAACTATCTGAACTCAATAAAGGTGGTAAATTTCAAAATATTTTAAATATATTATTAACAACTATCCTATGTTTGCCAAACTTCTTATAATTACCCGAGATAGGTGAAAAGCATAAAAACTTTAGTATACCTAGAAAATTTTTCAAAGTATACTGGGGAATAGGAGTAGCAGATAGGAAACATAGGAAATTTTGAACTGTAAATCTGAAATGGAAATTCATTAATAATAGAGATAATAGTTACAAGATTGTTCATACAAAAAGGGCAATTAGTTTGGATTGTTCTATAGGCTTCTTCCTAGCAGCCTTACTGGTCACTTCAGCCACAGTTGTTCGGCTCCCCTCTTCAGACTTCCCCTCAAATTTCTCTTCATCCAGGGAGACTAGTTGTATTTCAGGGTTACTGATAATATCATCAATCTTGTGTACCCTTCCACAAGTCAGTCAACCATCTTGATGGTCTTTGGGTTATAGTTTGGGAACTACACCTGGTAGAACCAGGGAGGTTGAGGGACTAGACTACTTGAAAGGCTTCAAGTATAGCCAAACTATATAATTGGACTGTTCAGCTTGGCCAAGTCCCCTTGAAACTGCTCGGACTTGAGGAAAGCTCAAATTATCCTTTTGGCCCATTTCCTGGAAGCATTAACCGGAGCTACAGCATGCTTCTCCTCCAACTCTTCAATGTTTTTTTTTGTTCAGCGTCATAGCTAGTTTGGAGGGAAGCTAACTTTCCATATTCAAAATCCAGGTTTGATTGCAACTGGGTTAATGTGCTCCTTCAAAGCTTCTATTTCCTTTCATGCAGCATCTAGGGACTTCTTGGCATCATTCTATGAGACAATACTTACTTCTACTCAATTATAAAGTTAAATATAATGTTAAATGATAAAATATAACTTTTATCTTTTTCTTGGAAAAATTATTTTATAAATTAAATTAGTAAGTTATTTTGTTGCACTACTTTTATGTTAATTGTTGGGTTGAATATTTTTGTGTGTATTGGACTTATTTAACTAATTACTTTAGGTTGGACTAATCAAACCAATTGTATATGCATTAAAGTTAGCAGCCCACAATTTGTATCTATACTAATAAAGCCCAACCCAAGTTCAAACTATTAGGTGTTAAGAAAAGGATGATGCAATAGTTGTTGTCTATTTTTGGCAAAATCAAGGGTTGCATGATACTAGAGGTGGGGTTTTAACCAGTGGCAAGTGTCTTGCAGAGATCATATAAGAAACCTTATAAATAGGTTCACCCTCCAAACATTATTTTTCTTCCTGCTAGTACTTTGCCTAAAACATAACCATTTGGAGAAAGATTAACGAGAAGGTTGGAGTAAGGAGGGGCAGTGGGGAAGTTTTGGCAGTTCTACACTAGGAGAAATAAATCATTTGTGAATTTTCAACTTTTGAAAATTTTATTTTTCTTTTACATTGGAAAGCTATGCATAAACGTATGTTCTATATACTATCTGATATTATATAATATACATATGTATTGTGGCAGTAGCACCATGTCTTGTTTCAACGAGTTTACTCTTCTCAAATTATGGATTTTGTTTCTTTGACCTAAATTCTGATTTTTTGCAAATGGATGATTGAATAATGCCCTATGGTTTTGGTTACTGCTAAGTAAATGAAGATGAAGCGAAGCATGTTATTGTCTTTATAATAGGAATTCATTTGCTATTTAAAATTTTTAGGAATACTTAGAATTTTTAATGTATTGAGTGTGATCAAGTTTACTATATTAAGAATTTGTTATTTTAAAATTAATTAGGAAATAAAAAATTGAGACTTGGGTTTGCTTCATGATTGTCGAATACAATTAGTAAGAAACTTGGTATTTTCTGCATTTCCATTGTTTTGTTGCTAGTAAGATTAAAAGAAAAGATTGATCAACATATACTGTAGTCATGAACATAGAGATATTGTTATAGTGGACCACTTAGTTGTTGGAAAGAGTTTCAGACCTCCTCATGGGTATAATGTATGTATTTCTTATGTGATGAAATAATTTGGGACTAGGATTAATTGGCATGCTTCACAGTTAAGCGGTGTGTTTTGAGAGATTTAATAGCTTTGCAACCAAGAAAGCTTGACTAGTTTCCAAAGAAAAAAATCCGTAGCTTTTGACCATTGCAGCTAGCCTTGTATAGTTTTACAGTATAACCTCTAACTCAGCTTAGAAAACTCGAATTCTGGTGCCATTGATTACATACAAAAGGTATAAAGGTCACACTCTGGTTCCTCTTGTGTCGAATCTTGTTGATATTTAAATCTAGTGCAAAAACAACCTCTAAATAGACTGACTCAGCTTTCGACTAAAACAAGCTGTAAATTCATGGGCAAATTCAGGTAGGTTAAGTCTTGAATAACTCAAAGATCTTTTCATGAGAGTTTCTCTACTCTGAACCTTGTTTCTAAATCCTCAAAGTTAGTTGAGTTATTTATCTCAAGATACAGCAATACTTGCACAACTGCCCAACCTAAAAGTTTTAAGTGATGTTTAAGCAAATGCTGTAACTTTGAGAACTATTTGAAGAAATTAAGTGGTGAATTTTATATTAAGTCCTTCATAAGACTTATAATATGTCAAATGCTATTTCTAGTGGTTATAAAATTGTAACTTTTAGAGATGTAGGTGTGTGATAATGTCATTTTAGTAAGTGCCAAACCATCTAAAATTCAGTAGAGGTAGTGGTAATTCTTCTATAACATTGAGATCCAATTTGAGCACAGAGAGTCTGTAAGAATAGGACCAGTCTTGTAAAGGTTCTTAACAATTTAAATTGAACTTATCAATTTTGAAGTGTATATCTCAAGATATTTTGACTACTTGAGACATTACCGAATCTAACAATAAAATGTTTCATGTGATTGTTCAAGTTTTAACCACATGATTGCTTTACCTACTTTTTTTTAAATTATTGTTATTGATTGTCATTACATATTCTTGATAATTTTATTCATTCATGTACATATGTTTGATAAATTGGTATGCATTTTGTGATTATACCAACTAAGTGCTAAGGCAAATATGTTGGAAGTCATCTCTAGAGCTTGTATAATAAACATAATGGGCCCTGTCAACAGTGGTCAAGGTTGGTCGGGAAGGTAATGGATTGGTAATCGATTTAGAATCCATTTTGACATGTTTTCTTCAATAAGGTTAGGAGTTTTAACCTTTATTGGTAGTGAAACTAGTAGTGATATATTGGATATCCACAGGTATTGTGATACGCTCCTCGGCCAACTTGTTCCGAAACACGTAGCACGATTGCCCAAGGATCTAGACGGTTGATCAATCGTTTGGAGTGCGGAACCTAGAACCAAGATGGACGACTCAACTTGATTAAAGGCGGTAGAACAGCGACTCTAATTGAGGTGGTTACTCAAACACAAGTTCATTAGTACAAAATGTGCACTTCTTAAGGTTAGCATAGAGGCGCGCCTTTCGAAGTGTGTCAAGTACCAATCTTAGAAGCTCCATGTGTTCATGAATGTTGTGACTATAGATCGAGATATCATCAAAGTAAATAATGATAAATTTTCCTATAAACTGCCTTAAAATATGGTTCATTAATCTCATAAAAGTGCTAGGTGCATTAATCAACCCAAAAGGCTCCTAACCACTCATAAAGGCCATATTTGGTTTTGAAAGCCGTTTTTCACCTATCTCTCTCTTTCATCATAATTTGATGATAGCCACTATGAAAATCAATTTTGGTGAAAATAACATCACAATCAAGTTCATCTAGCATATCATCTAATCTAGAAATAGGATGACGGTATTTAATAGTTATAGCATTTACAGCCCTACAATCAATACACATACGCCGAGTAACATCTTTTTTTGGAACAAATATAATAGATAAAGCACACGGACTCAAACTCTCTTTAACCCAACCCTTATCTAGTAGGGCATCAACTTGCCTTTGGAGTTCCTTAGTTTCCTCCAGACCCATTCGGTAGGCGGGTTTGTTAAGTAGGGGTGCTCCAAGAATGAGGTCGATTTGGTGCTCGATCTCTTGGATGGGTGGTAAGCCATCAGGAACCTCGTCAGGGAACACGTTCTCGAATTCCTGCAACAAAACAACCACACTAAAAGGCAATGCCTTGTCGAGTTCATCAGCACTCAAAAACACATGTTTGCATATCATAAGTAACACAGGCTGATCAGAATTCACGATTGTCCTAACATTCTTAGCCTTGATTATTATGTTTTGCTTCTTAGTGTTTGACTTAACCAATGCTTGATCATTTGTAACACTAGGAACAACACAATGGATCTTGGCCGAATGCTCAAAGGATGATTTGGGACAATTTCCAGATTCAGTCCCCTTGAGTTTTCTCTTTTGACGGTCTAAGTCACATTCCCTTTGCAATTTAAGTTCGTCCCATATACTTGTGCGGGTGTGAGGGGTGTTAGGACCATGCGTTTACCATTATGTAATAGAGTGTACTTATTAGACCTACCATCAAAGGTAACATGCTTATCAAATTGTCAAGATCTTCCTAAAATGACATGAGTAGAATGCATAGGGATAACATCGCAAACAATTTCATCAATGTACTTGCCAATGGAGAAAGGAAGGCGTACCTGTTTGTAGACACGTACTTCACCATCTTCACTTAGCCATTGAAGTTCGTAAGGGTGCGGATGTCTAGTCGTAGGAAGTTCCAAGCTTTCCACCATTAGTAAACTTGCTACATTGGTGCAACTTCCCCCATCGATGAGAAGGTTGCACACTTTGTCACTTATTTTACACTGAGTGTAGAACAAGTTTTCCCTTTGTAACTGTTCATCCTTCTTGACTCGGGTGGTTAGCACTTTTCTTGCTATCAAACAACCAATTTCACCTTGAGTTGGTGAATATTCTTCCTCGGCCGAGTCAATTTCCAACCACTCCTCCTTGGTCAAGTCGGGCATCTCCTCACAATCGTCATTTTCCGACACGACGTCTCTATTGTGAGTGATGAGCATTACCCTTTGATTTGGACATTAAAATTGGATATGTTTCGAATCCTTGACACTTGAAGCATTTAATATCCCTACTCCTAGGTTTAGGAGTTTCTTGAGTAGGCTTCGAAGTGGACTTAGATGGATCAACAACTTTGTTAGGTGTAGAATTGAGAGTTCAGTTGGGAAAGTTGCCTTGGATACGGCTAGGAGTGGATGGAGTGGCCGAATGGCCAGCATCGTGGGATGTTCTTCTCGGCTGTCCTCCTTTCCAAACATTCGAATTTGAGGTGGTATGGTCGGCTACCTCTCCTTAATTTCTTTCCCTTTTCGGTCTTGATGACTAATTCAAGTAGGTCGCTCATATCCAAATAGTGCTCAAGTTCCAAGGCCTCTTGAAGGTCAGAGTTTGACCCTCTAAGAAATCTTGCCATTGTGACCTCACTATCTTCTTGGAGATTAGCCCTCATCATGGCCATCTCGATCTCCTTGTAATAACCCTTCACACTCATGTTGCCTTAAGTGAGAGTTTGCAGTTTGGAGTGGAGATCTCGGTTGTAGTAGTTTGGAACAAATCTCTTGGGTATCATTGCCTTGAGTTCACTCCAAGTTCGGACTTGCGGTTCACCATTTTCTTCTCCTACCAGTCCTTACTTGATCCCACCAAATGAGTGCATATTCGGTGAACTCAACAGTAGCAACGTTCACCTTTTGTTCCTCGCTATAGTCATAGCAATCGAAAACCATTTCGATTCGGCCTTCCTATTCTAACACGACACAAGACTCAAAAACCAACTAACAACTAAATGACTAGTGATGTGAATGTTCGGCCACTACATTAAGCACACGCGTGGTCAGAAATGGCCGGTTCATGGGCTTGGATCATTGTGTAGGCAACCTGCTTAGTATCTTTCAAGCCTTCAATGTTCCTATGGACCTCTTGTTGATCTTGAACATTGTGAACAAGGGATTGAAGAGACTCTTTGAATTGTTTTGCCCTTGCGCGGGTAACTGGGCCAAGTGGAACTCTTACGTGTTCATCAGTTGGGCTCAAATCCGTGCACACATCATATTGACCAATGATTGACACTGGAGTGTTGAAGTAGTTACAAGTCATGCATGCATCTTCAGGGTTATAAGGATGGCTAAGCATTAGTATTATTTCTAAATTCTAAATTGCAATACTTGTTATTTGTGATGATAATATTGATACAAAAAAATTAAAGTCCATTTTTGTGTTTTTTTTGCATCATGCTTTGAAGAGGAGTGGATATTAAAAAAGAAAAGGAGGTTCTTTTAAAAATTATATATATATATATATATTCTAAATGGATATTACATTAACACACATGAAATCTCATTGAGTTTTAACTCACATGATTTTATGATAATTTTTCAGATGAGGAAGAGTAGAACTCTGGCAGGAAGCTCGAAGTTACATCTCAATACATATTACTATTTGATGTCTTCTCGTTGTGCTTAACTTTGGAATGTATTATTTTGAGATGTAAAATTTTTATTGACCAAGTTATTTTTGACAAGTTTGAGATAACAAGTTTTTAAATATTTTACCTTTTGAGATATCATTGTAAATCTGTTTATCTTATATAGTTATTGTAATTCTATGGATTATGTGACTTGTGTGAAAAAAGAAATTGCCCTTATGAGAGGTAGGCTAATGCTAAACTAAATTTCCTATACTTACATAAGTGGGGTGTCACAGTTTGTCATTTGGAGCTTAAAGTTAGGCTATGATAAGTTAGGGTTCTTGGCTTGTGAAAAGTTAGCAAATATCTAAGTATGCCTTAGTTTAAAAAAATTAATGATCAGACAAGCTAGCAATTGTTTTATTAAGTTTTAATTTTGAAGTTGTAAATGGTGTCGTAGGTCATGGATTGCTAGAAGCACTCCCCTGTTATTTGCTATGGTCATTCTTATGTTAGGTAGTTGAGGAGACCCTATGTCCCACCTATGCATAGGGGTAGAGCACATGGAGGTAGATGTATTTGTTAGCTCTCATACATTGATCATGTTGTGATTGAGGTAATATCTGAGAAGAATCAATTATATAGAGAGAGGACTAATTTTGACCAGCAAATTGAGGCAGCAAATGAGAGAATTGCAGCACTCGAGGTTCGAGAGAGCCAGTTGGAACAAGAGAATACTTGAGACTCTAACCTCCATTTTGATGAGTACATGCATAGATGTCATTGGTAAGAGAGGTTTAAGAGACTGAGAGTTGACCAAAGAACTAGACTTGCTTCTATTCAAGAGGATGTGTCAGAGACATATGGTTGTGCTATTATTCTGGATGATGTTACTGAGAGTAAGGATGACCTTAGTGATGGGGAGACCCAGGCCAACGTAGCTTTGGCAGTTATGTGCCACATGCTTTATGAGTGTAATAACTAAGATGATCAATTGGATGATGTGGTATAGGTGAATTCTAAGGTTAAGTTTGAAACCCAACCAGGTAAGAAAGATGCTGAGATACGACCAGAGTAGCCTGAGGCATCCCTAGATGATATTATTCCATAGAATGGATATGCATCCCTAGGTGATATTATTCCATAGAATGGATATTTTACTTTCAACTTTTGTACTTCTAGTCAAGTAGGTGCTCCGAAGACATCTTTGGTTCCTTATTGAAGCTTTTTGATCGGCATTAGGATTTGATAATATATATTTTGATGCTGATGTAGTATGGTTGTATTTTTTGCTAAACTTATTAGGTTAGATATTTAGGAATCCTTAATTATGTTTTGGTTAGATATCTTGTTGAAACTTTTGATCTGCATTAGATTGAATGCTATATATATTCTACTACTTGTCTTTCATGTGAACGAAATTATGTATTTTCTTATGTTAAAATTTGTCTCTTATATAATTTTATGTTGGTAAACATTTTCAAAAGAGAAATAAATATATATTTATATAGATGGAAACACCCGAGGGGCAGGGGCAAACCTCTCAAAATATGGATATTGAAAATAATATCTCCTTATTTTTTTTTTCTATTTGATTCAAGTGGAGGGCTGAAACCCATTACAATGATACCATTCTCGGTGTAGCAACACCCACTAAATCGAAAGCTAACAAGCTTCTAATCGAGTCAGGGGGATTAACAAAACTATCTCTGAATCTAACTGCACACTAAGCTTAGCTAAATGGTCGGCGCTGGCATTTCCCTCCCTCCACTAATGCTTGAACTGAAGCTCCCAAGAATGGCTTCTCAATTCCTTTATCATCACAATAATGTTCAGATATGGACTGTCTTCTGACTCCTTATGGATTAACTCCAAACTGACTTTCGAATCAGATTCTATTCACAGTTTCTTTATCCCCAACTCCCAGGCTAGGTGCATTCCTCTCCAAATAGCCATTAGTTTTGCCTTAACATTGTTGGTAATTCTCAATCCCGTAGGGGCTTTCTTGTATATTAGGTTTATCACAAGGGATTTTTTTTTTACCCTTTTATTTATTGTTTTCACAATGAAATAAATCACCCAATCCCTGTGGATATGACCCTATTCACTGCTATATTCAAATTATATTTTTCAAGTAGAAATTTTTATTTTTTCTAGATTGACACCCAATAGAGAGCTACTGTTCTTTTTGTCAAAAAAAATGGTACACTAAGAATTTGTATTGATTATAGATGTTTAAATAGTGTAACTATTAAGAATAAGTATCATTTGTCTTGAATTGATGAGTTATTTGATCAACTTCAAGAAGTCCGAGTTTTTTCAAAATTTGACCTTCAGTAAGGATACTAGCAAACTCAAGATTCAAAAGCTAGACATACTCAAAACTGCTTTTAGCACTCATTACATCACATTATAAGTTTTGGATAATCCCATTTAGGCTTACAAATACACCTCTTGCATTCATGGATCTCATGCATTGAGTGTTTCATCCTTACTTGGACCGTTTTGTAGTCATTTTTGTTGACAACATACTTGCCTACTCTAAGACTCCCGAAGAACATGAGCAACACTTTGATGCTATTTTGAAAACCTTTCATAAATTGTTTACCAAATTTAATAAATATGAATTTTGGATGGAGAAAATTTCATTTCTAGGTCACATTGTTTTGGGAGAGGGATTAGCAGTAGACCCTACAAAGAAATCACTTCTTTGAAACAATCAAAGACTGTGACAGATGTTCATAGTTTTCTAAGACTAGCAGGTTATTATCGAAGGTTTGTTAAAAATTTTTCTAAGATAGCAAGACCTTTGACCCACATCAAGCAAAAGAAAATCAAATTTGATTGGAATGGTAAATGTGAGTCAAAGTTTCAAGAACTTAAGAAGAGATTGACTATGTCACTAGTTTTACTTCTCCCGGATGGCATAGAAAATTTTGTTATGTATATAGATGCCTCTAAAGAAGGATTGAGGTGTGCTCTTATGGAAAATTGGTCTTGTTGTAGAGTATGCTACATGCAAGTTGAAAACTCATATGACTTGGAGCTTGCAACAGTTGTTTTTGCACTGAAAAGATGGAGACACTATCTATATGGAGTATTTTTTGAAGTTTTTACTAAGCATAAGAGTTTAAAACATAGTTATTAAACCCGACCCGGCCTAGTGGTTGAACCAATCAAACAGGTGAACCCACCATGGAACCGGGCCGGTTTAGCAATTGGATCGAAATTATAGATGATTCGGTTTGAACCATTTGATCCAAACAGTCAAACCGGTGACCCGTTAAACTCGACAGGTTTTGAAAATTTTTTTGAAATTACATTTTTACCCAATTTTTTATTTTGACTAGCCACACCAACATGGGCATTGTCATCTTTTTGACAATTAGATAAGCAATTTTGAAAAAGGATTTGGAAATTAGGGTTTCTATCTTTCTTTGACACTTAGATTTATCATTTATGTTTATGTATAATATCAATATAAATTCATAAACTAAGGAACACGTTTGGGTATGGTTTGTGTGTATAAACTACGAAATACTAATAGGTTATGGCTTGTTGACATTTAAGAATTTCTGTTCTTATATTATAATTTATATGTTTGTTTAATTATATTATATTTTTTTTATTATATAGTGTGATCCAACGGTTCAACTAGTGCCCCACCAGTTGAACCATTGACCGGCCAACCCAATCCTCCTGCCGGATTGATACTCAGGTTGGTTTTAATATCTATGGTTTAAAGTAGTTTTTTTTTTCTCAAAAAGAGTTGAACTTAGGCAATGAAGATAGGTGGAGTTATTAGAAGACTATGATTGTATAATCAATTACCATTAAAGTAAAGCCAATAACGTAGCAGATGCCTTCAATCATAAAGCGCCAAATTGCTCATTTGGTGACTAAAGAATAGTATGTCCTAATAGATCTTAGAGAGTGGAAACCCAAGCCAGTACAAAAGGGTTTTATCATAGCTAACCTTCAATTGCATGTTGACTTAGTCACATGGATTTGAGACATGCAGATACAAGGTGCAAATTTGTAGAAGATAAGAGTGAAGCTAAAAGAAGGTAAGGATGATGATTTTTTTTTTTTTTTTGTGGCTGGCACCAATGGTACAATGAGGTTTAGAAGGAGTATTTGCGTACCGAATTATTTAACCCTAAAAAGGGAAATATTGGAGGAGGCACATTTCAGCAAATAAACGAGACACCCTAGGGATACGAAGACATACCATGACCTTAAGGATAATTTTTGGTGGAATAACATGAAAGCAAGATAGCTGAATATGTCTCTAAATGTCTCACGTAGCAACAAGTTAAGATAGTGCATAAAAAAACTAGCTGGATTAATTCAACCGTTACCAATACTAGAGTGGAAATGGGAGCATATTACAATGAATATTGTATTTGGATTGCCATGAACCAAAGAAAATCTTGGTTGAGTATGGATAGACCGGCTTACGAAAGCTGTACATTTCATACTTATTAACATCAGGTCTAATGGAGAAACTCACCCATATTTACCTGGATAGGATTAATAGATTGCATGGTATACCACTTAGTATTGTCTCAGATTGAGATTTTAGATTCACCTCTAGGTTTTGGTCCCGACTACAAGGTGCTTTAGGTACTAAGCTTAAACGTAGTACTACTGCACATCCTCAAAACGATGGACAATCAGAAAGGACAATTCAAACTTTGGAGGATATGCTTTGTGCTTGTGCTGCAGATTTTGGAGGAAATTGGGATCAATATGTCACACTTGATAAATTTGCTTACAATAATAGTTATCAAGCAACCGTTAGCATCATACCTTTTGAAGCCCTATCTAAACGAAAGTGTTGGTCTACAATTTATTGGGAAGAAGTGGGTGCACATGGGATGCTAACAACAAGTTAATTGTCCTTTTTTAGAGGATGCTTATACAAAAGTGCGTCTAATACACCAAAGAATGCAAATAGCACAAAGTAGACAAAAAAAAGTTGTTCTGATAATCGTAGGAGAGATTTGGAGTTTAAGGTTGGGGATAAAGTTTTTGTTCAAATCTCACCTCATAAAGCTGTTATCAAGCATCGAAAGGGAGGAAAATTAAGCTCTCAATATGTCAGACCATTCAAAATTTCTAAAAGAATAGGGAAAGTCGCTTATCGCCTAA